GGCAAGTGGCGCCGCTGCAAAAAGAGAGAGTTGACTGAAACGGGCCGGATCAATTTTCAAACAAAAACCCAATAGTAAAAAGTTTCATGAAGCCCAAACAAACTGTTATAGTCCAAAACGGGTTGCTGAGGTGGACTTTCCAGCGTGGCACCGACGTGGCATGGCTAAGAAGGAAGGATGCTCTTCTTTATATAATAGAACTCACTGATTTTCAATATTCAAAAAAAAATATTTCACTGATTTTCTATTTCTTTTGTCTTCCCCACCCTAAACGAAAATCTTATTTTTTTAGTCACGTTTTAGTTATTCTACTACCCAATTATCAATATGTTAGATATATATATATATATATATATATATGTGTGTGTGTGGTTAAGAAAATGGATTATAAACTGTTTTAACTATATTTTGATCTCATTATATATATGCAGTGGCAGACCCACATAGGAAGATGGGGTGTCACCTAACACCCCTTAAATATGTAAAAAAAATAGTTTGTTCAATAAAACATGTGAGAATCGGTAGTTCTATTGGTAAAGTGTTCCTTCTGACTCCCTAAACTGGGGTTTGAATCCCCCTACTAAAATTTATTCCTGGGTCCACCATTGTATATATGTGTGTATTTTTTGTTGTTTTGCTAATTGTTTTTAGAAATTTGTGAATAAATTAACATGGATAATATACCATGATGCATGGTATTACTGATGGACAAAATATTTTGATGATATTTTATAGATATGTAACAAACTGTGACTATGTTAAAGGTGTTTAAAGTCGGGCAACTATTAATGTAAAAATTCATGTTGATCAAGGCGCTTGTAAAACTTTTTCTTTGCTTGGCCAGGGCAAATGTAAAACGTCTTATATTTTTTGTAAAACCTATTCTTGATCAGGTGTTTCTCATGATGAAGAATAACTTTGAAAGCTTCGAAATTTCTTTATCAGATGTTTCTTATGAGATAGAACAATGGAAGACGTTTATCATGTGCATTTTCTTCAAGTTAGATTATATCAACCGGACTAGATTATATCAACCGGACGTTATACAAATGGTTTTCATAGGAAACAGTTCTTTTAACATGTAAAGTTATTGTTGTAAGAGGTGGGTAAATATTTATCACGCCAATGTAATGTAACGTGGATTATGAAGGTTGATATAGAGTTTAAGGAACATGTACAATTGGTAAAACCAATAGTATTTTATGTAATTACTCTAATAATCGATGTGTATTTGATTTAGGAGTGTGAATGCGTCTATGGAGCTAATCCATTAGCAAAGGGACATTTCTGTTAATAAGATACATCTTTAAAGTTATTTCTTATTGATGCATCTTTAGGGGATTCTCCAAAATAACCCAAAATCAAAACCAAACCTGATCTGATTATTTTGGATAATAATCGGTTTCTATTTTTGTTGCCCAGACCAACCCAAAAAGAAAACCAAAACGCCATATTGGAACAGAAAACCAAAAGAAATGTACCAAAACATAAACCGTTACATATGCCATACAATAAAAGGCTTTCCGTTACCGAAAATTAAGGTCCACTGTTTGAGCCCAAGTGCTATCACAACCTTTTTTTTTTTTTTTTGACATCTTTCACAACCTTTATACAGTCAATCAGTCATTATAAAATAACTAGGTTCATAGCTCCGCGCAAGCGCGGAGCCGAATACAGTGATGATGCGTTATGATATTTTATAGAGGATTTTGTCATTTTTTTGGACATTTTTTTGTTTGGGGTTTAACCGAAAACCCGATTGAATTTAGTTGGTATATGAATGAGTGAAAATTCATATGCTTTGAAATATTCATATATTATTTTAATAATGATTTTCTCGAATATTTGTGTTATTAGTGTTTTTATGTCTAGGATGGGTGATTTATTATGTTGTTATTGTCTAATTTGTAGGTTGGTAGTATATTATTGTTAAATAGTGAATTAGCATTTAAAAAATAATTAAGATTTTATTAAATTATACAAAGAAATATAGTTTAATGGATTGAAGAGAAAAAGATGAAACATGTTTGTTAAGGGGTTGTGTGGAATGTTTAGAGATCAATATTTATTAGTGAGTAAAGACCTGTTTTTATTTACAGATAAGAGTGTTTGACGAATTTATATGTGTTTGTATTTCTACATTTTTTTACGAATTAATTGGATCTTAATGTTATTAGTGAGTTAATAACCATATGTAACCAAATATAGGTATTTGTTACTATACAACTATAATATGGGAACGAAGAAGAAATAATTTTGTTATTCGAAAAGAAATATAATTTGTTGTTTTCAATGTGCCATGACATGTTTTGAAAATATATAAATGTAGTTTAATAAATGCTAAGGCTTCGTATAATTATATACATGTATGACTAAGATAGTTATTTTTTTTATATTTGTCAAAAATATTTTGTTGTAGTTTAAAAATGGGAATGTTAGATTAAAAAGTTTAGTCATATATGATTATATTCGAACACAATGAAAATGTAGTAGCTGGGTTTTAAATGATTGGACTTGAAATTTGATGAGTCTTGAGTCTCAATTTAGATCTGAAACTGGATTGTTTACTCGTCCTTTTTGTTTCTCCTCGTCATCTTCAGTAGTGTGACAAGCTCTTGTGATTCTTGGTCTGATTGTGTTTTTAGTGTGTCTTTTTGTGCAATTATGGTTTTTCTATAGCAACATGGAAGAGAGATTAGCTCACCTTAGTTAAGGTTGTCTCCATCGCATTCCTTACTCAGTGAACCTCTGTTGATTCGGTGTTCTCGGAACCTGCAATAAGAAGGTTTGAATTTGTTGTATGACTTTATTTCTATTATTATTAGTTTCGTTTACTAAAACCCATACTGAATGATTTGAGGTTCTATATGTTAATTTGGTTGGTATGGCTTATGTTTACTTTAACATGACAGAGANTGTCTCCATCGCATTCCTTACTCAGTGAACCTCTGTTGATTCGGTGTTCTCGGAACCTGCAATAAGAAGGTTTGAATTTGTTGTATGACTTTATTTCTATTATTATTAGTTTCGTTTACTAAAACCCATACTGAATGATTTGAGGTTCTATATGTTAATTTGGTTGGTATGGCTTATGTTTACTTTAACATGACAGAGAGACTTGAAGGCTGCATGACGGATGCCGGTGACGCTAGTTTTAGGAACTGAAGAATGAGAGAGAGACATTTTTTAGAAGATGGTTAAAGTTAAGAGGAATAGATAAGTTTTGTGGAGATGCACATAGGGTTCATCAAAGATGAGAATCATATATATATAATTTACAGAGGGGCTACAAATCAAGAACATTTATGATCAAGCGATGTAAGATGGGGAGATGAAAAGTTCACCGGTGAAAAAAATAGATTACGAACAGACACACGACCCAACTCTATAACTCAGACCTGTATGAGACGATGGTGAAAGGAATCTTAACTCATTTTAAACATTAACGGTTTACAATATGGGAAAACTGTAACTGTTGTAAACTTGAAGATTTTCTTCATATAATATGATGAAGCCCAATTAAAAATGAAACTCATAATACATTTCCAGGCCCGAACTTTAAAGGAGGCCATAGATGCAAAGGCTTCCGGCTAAATATATATTAGTTTCGGCCATCAATGTACAAGTTATCTTGTAGTTTAGTGGTACGAATGTTAGTGTTTGTTTCTTAATAACCCGGGTTCGAATCATATGTTTGGCCATCAATGTACAAGTTATCTTGTAGTTTAGTGGTACGAATGTTAGTGTTTGTTTCTTAATAACCCGGGTTCGAATCATATGTTTGACATTTTTTCATATTTTTAAAGTGGGACCCACCTAATGCTGATGTGGCGCGTTGAGGAGTCTTGAAACTCAACTATTATAATATAGATTTATTTACACAATTCCCATAATTTTCCATTTCCATATTTTATAATGATATGGAGTTTGGTTAAATAAGAAAACTATGTTGCACGTCGATAAAATAAATAAAATATAAATTTATTTTCTAAAATAACAAAATTGATCTCTCTTCATATTCAACAGATGTTTTTGTTTTGAATCCAAAAGTAACCTAAAAATTCATTCGATACCTAAAAATAAGTAAAACAAAACAAATAATATCTGAACGCTCATAGTGGTTTTCATTAATAATTACTTGAATATCCAAATGCATGATTCAAATTATGTCAATACCAGAAACGATCCAAAACACAAAGAAGATTTTTCTGCGATGAACAATTAAATATCTGCTCATGATTTTCGAAATAAGTAATACAAATTCTAATTAACCATTCAAATTATAAAATTTTGAGATAGCCACCTATAAAGGATGGTGCAGGGCGTAGGTGTAAAGTGAAAAGAGTATAAGATAGGATGTAAATGAATAGTACGTGACATCTATTGCTACTACCACTAAACTATTGCCGTTCCATGGCCCAACGTTCGTAATCAGTAAGCCAACTGGCAATTATCTACTGAATGCAAGCTAGAGTGTCCAAAACAAGTTCTGCGCTATAGGACAAAACATTTCTTATAATATATTGCTTTTCTTGTCTTTTTGAGTTTGTATTCGATCTCATGTTTAGACTTAAAACGACAAGAATAAAATAATTTTGTTTGTTCTCATACAAAATGTCAAAAAGTATCACATCATCTCAAATTCTAATGATATTGTGGATTAGTTTTCTAATAGGGGGAAGAACAAAACAAAAGAAATAATGATCTCACTTTAAACAAACTTTAGACCAAATTAAACGCTTTTCGAATATCATGAACATGTATTTCCTTTTCCGGTTTGTATTGTTCATAAATTGAGTAACTATGTAATGATTTTAGATTAGTAGGTAACTAAAACCACCCAAACTTGTATTTTTCGACAATCATACGTTTATTTAAAGTTTCAAAAGAGATAAATAGTCAAGATATATGTTACATATATAGATATATAAATATATTTTTTTCCAAACAATACCCTTATAACTACTATAAGGGCTGCATCAAAAGAGTGTATCTTCTTCTTAAAGGCCTTCAAGCCTAGAGAGAAAGCAAACAAATAACAAAAATAATTAGTGTTTTTGGGACGAACCAAAAGAAAATGGATTTGTCGGATTTAGAATACAGCGATGCGGGAGAATCAGGTTGGACAATGTACTTAGACCATTCTTCTTCTGTTTCATTCCATCATTTTGACGATGCCAATGGAGAAACAAACCAAGAACATGATCAAGATTCTTCAATGGTGTCGGATGCATCATCCGGGCCTCCTTATTACTCTAAAAAAGCAGTCCCTGAGGATCCTCTCCAGCAAAACACACAATATTGGTGCAAGAGCACAATCAAAAACAAGAAGAAAGCTCATGAAGAACAAGGATATATTGAACGATTCAATTCTTGCCTTGATGACACAGCTTCTTCATTGGTATGTTTTACAAACTTGTCATGTCAATATTCTTTGAATATTTTCTTAGTTCTTAGGCCACATTGTTCTTTGCTATATGTTTTTTTTTTCTAAATACGAGTTCTTACAAATTCGTTTAAACTAAATTCTTTTGGCCCTTCGGATATATCATTATTGTCTCAACTTTTGTAAGCTCATGTATAGCCGACTGGAAAAGAAGTAACAGCGCATAAGCAACATCGACATCAATACCAGCGGTTAGATGATTTCTCCCAAAGTTACTCCACAAGAAGAATAATCAAGGTTATTAGTTAGTTATTATGAATTTGGAGCTTCTAAAAATTTTTGTATGCCAAATAGTTTCAAACTTTTTTGTGTTTGCTAATAGGAAAGTTGTGTTTAATTGCATAATGACATATGAGAAAAAAGCTTAACTTTTTAGCAAAATCATTGGCTTGAATCAGCTTTTATAACTTTATTTGTTTCAGGCAAAATATGAATTGGGCTTCCTACAACAAGCTTCCCCGGTAGAGAAATTTGCATCGGATCATCAAGGTTATGGTATGTTTATTGCTTAATGACCTAAATTTAGTATAACTAATAGACATATATTGACATCGTAAACATGATGATGCATAAAATCGCATACATTAGTCAATTTACTTAATTAGTTCTCGTAGATTTATATGCATATACTGTAAGTGGTAAAATCCTTCGAAATTTTTTATTGTGAATATAAACCTCTTCATTATATAGTAATATTCAGTTATCCACCTTCATATATTATTAAAAAGTTATGATATATCATGCATGCATGAGTATAAATGTATGCATGTATAATTCGTTTTTTGTCCACGTATAAGTGAATTCTTAGCTTGACAATGTGTATTTGCAGATGGCAGTAACCAGATAAAGAGAAGAGGATAAAAAATGGTATCGGCTATTTATTATTCTCCATCATCTCTTGAATAGGGAACACCTTCTCTTCTTGAGTATGTTGGCTATATAGTACATTGTCTTCAAGAAAACCATGTGGGTTTCTCCTTCATCATGATAATGCATACTTTGTTGTTTATGTTTTTACTTTTCTTGATATTTCAACTATCAAATTATTTTTCAATAACAAATAAAGATGGAAGTAACGTTTGGAACCAAAAATAGTTGAATGAAAAAATGTTGGATGACAAAAAACAAAGAAGAGAAAACTTGGATTAATCTTTTGGGATATTCCATAGCAAGATAAATAAGTTTGCATTAGCATATTGATAGTATGCAATGTATAGTTCCTAAACTTTGGATAAGTTTCCCTTAGCTTACCATCGATTCTTAGTGTGATATAGTTTCCTTTTACATAAACCACTTATGTATAAACACAGAATCATTATACACATTTCAGACTACTGAGAAATATTCTGTTACAAACTTATCTTCTTCAATAAATTGCCATCTAAAAAAATTGTAACAAGAGTGGTTTGATGTCAATAATTTGCCATGGCAGTCTATGGTAGAAGTATATATTGTTCTAATTAGTACCAATAGATGCTTCGCAAGTCGTAACACTCCACTTAAAATACGAGTCTTGACTTTGAAATCAGATGAATATTGATTACGAGAGAAATTAAGCTCAGAGAAGCAACAGTACATTGATTGAACATGTAACTATACCGACCATTTCTACTTATTTACTACTTTAAGTCTCGTACTCCCATTACTTGTACATTCCCACACAGCTGGTCATGGACCCTTCTCATTATTGTACACCTTTCTATGTACTAGTGGTCATATTTAATTGTTTTCATATAAATCATGCCATTTTATGCAAATTCAGACTTATATAATTTATTTATTTTCTTAGAATCAGATTTATATTATTCTTTACTTGTTGTTACATTATAAAGAAGTTGGAAGCTGTTTGCCAAAGCAATATGTTTCTTGACTGTTCCAACTTGTTACATACTTTAAATACAAACAGTAAAAACTAAACATATAAAACCTAAGAATAGAACGACAGAAAATCCAAATTTATAGAAAGAGCTTTCACGCTAGAGCCAGTGTGTTAAAACTTGGTCACCTTAATTTGTGAGTTTGGTGACCACAATATCTTTCTCAAATTAGTTTTGACATGGAAAATATATAGCATCACATGATGCCAAGGTAGAGAAAATTATTTTATTTATCAATACTACTTTTCAAATAAGTTGTAGTTGTTTTCCAAGGCGGTTTCATCTTATATCTTATTCAGCTGCAGATTTTGGTTATCTAAATGTTAAAAAATGATTTATTCCGAAATCAGAAAAAATTAATTTCGAAATCTGATCATGAAACAAAGTTAAACGAGTTGGTGAAAGGAACAGTTTTAACCTTTTTAATATAAAAATCATTATGTTGTTATTGGATATCATGGCACACTAGATATATATGTTGTATATCATCACTATAATATTATTTGAGAAGTCACTTTCTTAGGTGTCGCGCTCACGTTAACTTTTACGTTGGTTGATTACAATGATACCCCTAATGAATTAAAAATATAATTAAATATTATTTCCTTTTTAAAAATTTCCAAATAACAATATAAAATAAAAAGGAAACAATTATAAAATTTACAAAACTATTTAAAAACGAAAATATAAGTATATATATGGTTTAATAAAAAAAGGAAAGTTCACAAAATAGTAATATTTAATTTAAATATATTTTAAATAACATAAAATATACCTTTGAAGTAATAAAATACTTTATATCTATATCTTCTTAGATAAAAAAACAATATATGTATATAATGTGACTTTATAAAAAGATTTCACACAAAAAAATATTGCTATTAGAAAAAGAAATATTTTAAAAAAAAATTTAAACAGTAAAATATATATATTTTCAAAATAATTATTTTCTATATATCTATCTATTTTATTAGATGATTACATAAGATAATCAACTAAAATAAACTGATATATGTTTAATTGACATTTTTTATAATTAGTATTATTGAAATTATTTTTTTAGTATATTTATTTGACTATAATATCTTACAATTACAGTAAAAATATAAATTTTATTTTACTTATATAGTATAATTTCTCAAAAACAATCATTTTTACTGACTATTTTAAGAGATACTAAAAATAAAACTAAAAATAAATTTAATAAATCTTTTGATCAAGTAACTACAATTATTTTAAAATAGCATAACACTATATAACCTAACGAGGTAGATATATTATATTTTAACAGTTAAAATTATTTGTTTTAAGAATAAGGATCATGATTTACTTAAGTATTTTGATTATGGTTATATTAAGTTTCACAAACATAAAAACAGAAAATTATACCGACCCGAAGTTGCCGAACCGAACCGAACCGGAATTAAAGAAATTTGGTTTTTATGTTTTGATTTTTAATTTTCTGTTTTTATGTTTGTGAAACTTAATATAACCATGATCAAAATACTTAAGCAAATCAGAATCCTTATTCAGAAATTATTTAAAAATTAATTTCAGTTTACCATCCAATCAATCTAAAGCATAAATTTATTTAGAATTTATAAAATATTTTAATTATTGTAAATATTGATATGTGTTCAAAAGCTTCTAAAAATTCATTAGTTACTTATGTATGTAATTTAGAATCAGACACTTTAGTTTTTATTTGTTTTCCTTCTAACCACAAAAAATCTTAAATTATATATAATCTTACTAAATATACTTATATTTCTAAAATAACAACCAGCATAAATGAAAATAAGACAATTAATCAAAATTTTAATATATTTAAAATATAAAAGATTATAGTTAAATTCAGAGAAATGGATAAAATCTAATATATCTAAATGATAACTAAATCGACCGTAAAAATAATAAAACAGACTAAATATAACATATCTAAAATTATATATATAATTAAAGTAATAGAATATTATAATATAAATTAGACATACAAATTATAAATTAATTTAAAAATTAAAGTAAATATCAATCAATTATTATATATTGTTTATTTATTTTATAAATATACATGCCCGTGCATGAGCACGGGAAAATCACCTAGTTGCCTTATTAAATGATATATAACTTGATTTTTTTGTTCATATCTTATTTTTCTTATCAGTATGTAACTCAAGCGTGATCATTTTCTTATTCATCCATTCAACAGAAACTACAATATTCCATTTGTTACCAATGTCGACAAAAATAATACAAGGTTTGTTAAAGATATTTATTTCCTTGGATTCTTATAATGCATGCATATACAGTATACACAGAGCCGTGCCTGATATATATAAGGTTAGAAGCAACTAAATTTCTTTGGCCCTACAAACTATTTAAAAAAAAAATATTATTATATTATAGAATTCGGGCTTCAAAGTTTGCACCTTGAAAAGATTACATACCTAGTTTACCATCAGAGCCAACTAATCTTTAATGAAAGTAGCCCCTAAATTATTTTTAACCTTTCGGACCCTTAAGCTTAATGTTTGATTAGTCTCTATTCTGCATGGCCTGTATATATATACATTTTTTTTTGTAACTGGCCTGTATACATTTGAAAGATATTATTTCCTTGGATGCTACACATGCACGCATTTACGTGAATGCATGTGAGACTATAAATGTATTTATGTATATGTTTGTAGATGATGATTTATAAAATAGTAATAATAAAAATGGACCAACTGGTCCCTTATAGGAAGTGATATTTCATGTGCACATGGCAAATTGGTTAGTGGCTACTGGCCTTTTTGCCAGTCTATGGTCCGTAATCTGCGATAGTTGGTACACCCCATGGCTTCTATCATTTTATTTCATGTATGACATAAAATTAAATATATAGATAAGACTAGATATTATAGTGGTTTCAGGTACATATTCAGTTGGGATCTTTCGAGTTTCTGGATTCGTAAGTTCACGAGATAAATTCAACTAAACTAAAACATAATCTAGTTTTGTTTGGTGATGATTCCGTTTTGAATATAAGACAAGAAATTGAAGCTACTTGTGATGCAAATCTTAACAAACTTGATGTTACCATTAAAAATGGAGAACTTAATTATCTAAAAAAATTTGAACAAGTGTTTCAGATTTCTTATAAAGCACAATAAGTTATATTGGCTAAAATCTTATATTTTGTATGTTAATAGAGCAAATTTTTGGTTAAACAATATTAATTAATTATTGAAGAAATTTTATTTATACTTTGACTTTAGAATGTTGGTGGTAGATATTTTATTTTAATAGCTGTAACTTTCCCTTTGAGTATTTTTAAAAGCTTGACCGGCCTCAGAAACCTTAGAAGTTGTGAATATATATATATGAATAATTTTTAAAATGTGTTAGCTATTTCTTACAAACTATTTCTTATACTTGAAAGTCCATAAAATATATTGGGTTATATAAAACAAGAAATCAGACAGAAATATTAAATATATATTTTATTAGTTATTTATTATCAAAATAATAATCAAAGTTGTAACCAGTAGTTTTATTTGTTAATAAATGTTAAATAAGATTACAATTTACCAACGGATCGTAGTCTATATGTTGTTTGCAATCTCATCTCGAACACCTTCCATGTATTGTCTCGGACTGAGATCTTGTTTCATCATATTTGGAAATTCTTCCTCAACTTTTTCGTTGGTTCGTTTTCATTTTTTTACTAACTAAAATTCAACTGTAAGACAAGATCCACAAGATTTGATTTGAGAATAAAGTTCTGAAGAACTATGGTTGCCACAATAGTGCGACACATTATGTTTTATCTAGTTTTGCCTTTCACAATACACCATTATTTTCAATACTCCAAAAATTCTTTCATTCACTGATCGAAATGATGAACGGTGATGATTAAACACTTCTCTATTGTTTCTTTCTTAGTTTGATTTTGGAACCGGTTTAGGTGATACCGCTCTCCTCTATATGTACAAAAAAATT